GTATAATTTTTCACCTGAAAAATGAAATTTTGGATCTTTTAGTGTTCATTTGACTTTGTTTTCCTTGAAAATTGTCCATTAAAGGGATTTTTTTTAAAAAAATTGTCCATAAAATTTGTTTTCATTGCCAATTTTTTTTTTTTTTTTTTATGTTGGAAACCATTTTCCCACCAAATTGGTGAGAAAACCTATTCAACAAAAACAAGGAAACAGGGCCACGTGAGGGATGGGAGGAAAAAAATTTCCATAAAAATTTTTGGCTATAAAACATGGCAAAACTGAAAAAATGGAATTTCAATTCCATTTTTCATGAAAAAGAGTCTATCAAACATGCTCTTAAGGATTTATTAATAAATAGATTTCAAACATAAAATACAAATAACAAAACCTTTTCGAGAGTTCATCATTTTGAATGAAATTCTTATGGATACGAAAGAAATCTATTCAATTTTGTGAAATTGATTATAATTTATATTTTTTTAAAATTCATTAAAATTCTAGTTGTAGACCCTCTTGAATTTGTTAAATTCTAAAGTCTAATACATTAATGGCAATGAAGTTCAAAAATGATATATATTTTTCTCATTTTGTAAACAGCATTAAAGATTACAAAAACAAGTTTCCAAAAAATTCCCAAGAAAAAGTAATAAAAGTTATTATGTGCTTCAATTTTCAATTGTATAGTGTTGGAAAAATTGAGTTGACTTTGGTATGAATTTTGAGTGATATCCGTTTGGCTATTTTGGAAGATTGATTTATGTTCTTCCCCATGAGTACATCGAAATCATATATTTACTAGTCAAAAATGATGTTTGGGTGAATGAGAAATTGAAGCTTGATGTCATGTGAAAAGAGTTTTTGTTGGTAGGAAAACTATAAATTAAGTTTGTCCCACATGGGAAGCGGATGAAAACTAAAACCACTTTATAAAGAATTGCACTTTAAAATGGTGTAATCATGTGCAACATAGAGGCTCTCTCCACGTGCGTGCGCATGGGGTGCAAATCATGAACCGAAATAGGCATGGATCTTGAACTTGTGTGCGGCGCGACGACGTACACGAATGTCGGATCAGATTGACCAAAAAATTGGCCCCTTAGAAGAGCCTACGTTTTGCTACATTTTATTTTATTTATTGACTGACTTTTCATTTTCTGAAACAGTTGAAACTCCTAAAACTATTGTTGTAATTGCCATGAAGTAAGTGGGCAAGTTACAAGATCCAAAATCTA